GTGTGTGTGTGTGTGTGTGTGTGTGTGTGTGTGTGTGTGTACTGTGTATTTAGATCACCACAGGGGCTGGGTGCACCCGAGGTTCAGAAAGTCAAAGCAACAACTAACTAAGACATAGCTGGCCCAGGTTTTATCCCACTGAAACTGAGGTCTCCTAAGCTAACTGCAACTGAAGCACAGTGGGACCCCTCATTACATACAAAGAGATTTGCAAGACTTGGGTGGGATCACAGGGCATCTTTTCTTGGCCAGTGTACACAGGAGCCAGACTATCTTTTGGCCATTTCCCTTCTGACATCTTGAGGGAATTTCTTCTCTAGAGAACCTTGGGGGAACAGTAGGTAGGAATCTGTCTGCCCCAAACTGGGAAGAGTTTTTAGAATTTTCCCTCAGTGTGCCATGGCCACCAACTTAGGTGGGGGAGGAAGAAAGTTAGGCAAATGCCAGATTTAAGCTTTACAAGGTTTTGCCAGGGACATTCCTGAGAGCGTCATGCCAGAGTTATGCCACATGCTACCTCTCAGGCACATGCCACATGAGGATTGTCCTCAGCCTCATGTTTATATGAGAATTGGCATAAGGAGTGATGGAGATCGTGTACAGATCCTATAGAGGACAACTGGTACTTCCTATACACATGTAGTGAGCGGCAGTCCACTGAGCAATGTTCAATCACAGGGAGAAAAATGCCTGCCATAACATTATGGAGACCTTTCACACACCTGGCCTCCTGAAAAGTCTGGTGACATCCTGGGATCCCTACCCACACTAACCTGCATTCCCACAACAGGTCTGCAAAGGTTAAATTGACATTCTCAATCCTGAGGGGCTGCATGATGCTGTAGGAGTCTCTCTAGGGTGCTCCTCCATGGCAGTTCCCAGTCTGTCTTGGGAGAGCTTTGAGGCTCACCTGGATTGTCCACAGCTGGGCAGGTGATTTTCACAGTCTCAAGTCTTCAGAGGTTGTTGAGATCCCAGGCTCTGTCCCAGCTGCATGTGGATCCTGGCTTTAAATCCCAAATCTGTAGCTCCAGGACAGTGACCCTGCCCAGTTACCCCTCCCAGCAATTGGCCGGGTGGGCAATTGGACTGGACCTCCAGGCTGAGGCATTGCAGGCACTTAACTGACATTGATGTCCACCCTGTCCTGAGGCATTGGGTGTGGGCTGCCTTGGTGGACTGTGGGGAAAGGAGAAGTGGGTCCCTGTTCCAGCAAAGTAGAGTGTATGAGTTTACTGCATTTGCTGAGAAAATGCTCTCTCTGACAGAGGACTTGGCAGTTAGCTCAGGGAAGAAGGTTCTAGCTAACTGTGTGTGAATTTCCAACAAAACACTGCTCTTCTATTAGAAGTAGAGATTTTAATAAAATCCTTGTCTGTGGTGCCCATGAGCAGTTAGTTATATTCTAGTCAAGAGTTTCCCCTTTAGTGCACAGCTAAGGTGGGTCTCCTGGTGCTCACAGACTCTGGGATAATTCTTCCAGTGACAGGGAGGATGGCAACTGGGTTACTAAAAATCTTTAGGGGAGGGCAATCCCCAAACAGGGAGGAGATATTCAAAGACAAACCTGGGAATGGAGTGCAGTGGGGGGTGTCCTGAGACTCAGACACTTGTAATCATCTCTGAAATCTGCTCTTTCTGCTGTCTTTCTTGTCTCACATTTGCAGCTACAGCAGAAGTGGTGAGGTCTATGTACAAGCCTCAGTGAAGAACAGGGAAGTGACCAGTATTTTGGAGCCTGCTTTGATTGACACCTCTGAGTTTACATTGTGTTCCTTCAGTCTCTTCCTGGGATTGAATTTAGGGGATTTATTCTCACAGAGCTTAATGCTGGAAGTGAGCTAGAGTTTGGACAGCATGTAAGTGAGGAAACAACTGTTAATCAAAAATGTGTAGGCAGAAGCTCTTGTCATTGACCAATTAAAGAAAGTAAACCATAACTCTTCTCAACCCTCATCACTCACATAGAGTACAATGTGGAAAAAAATGTCTAGTGAAATATTGCTGTGAGCTTTTTTGAATAATGTTGATTAAACATGTTCTCAGTTCTTGGATGTAAACAGAGTCAGATGACATTCTTTGAATAGTTTATTTCTCTACTTAAGATTGTATCATCCATTTAGAAACAATCTCAGATCTGAAACCCTTTCATTGCTACAATACCTAACAGGAAATGTTATCTTTCAGCAATGCTTCTCTGGAATTAGGGACATACACACTGTCTTGCAACTGTCATCCCCATAGATCTGTGAGTTTGTTATTCTGTATTCCTAACCTGAAACTCTGTTCTCAATAAGCCTCTCCTCTCTGACAAGTCCTGCATCCTACTCCTGCGATGGGATGAAGTTTGTACCTGCTCTACACTCCAGCCATGTTGAAATTCAATCACTGTTCTGACTGTATAAAGACATGTGACCATTCCAACATGAGCAGTCCCCACACACCTGCCAGTCTCATGGTTCTGAGGTTACTTATTCCTCCATATGCAGATCTCAGGCTTTGGTTATCTTCTCAGCCTTGATGGACCTTTGGCTGCCTTTACACCTGCTTCTTGCTGGTAACACTGCTGTCCCACCAGGTGACAAATGCTTTTTGACCCTCTGCTTTTAATCCTCTTGGGTAGACATTCTGGAGGACAGCTGATGGGTGTCCAATTCAGTTTCCTCCTTGTTCCTACAGAGCCAGGCACCACTGGACATTACCTCTATCCATGCCCAAGGTCGCTGATGTCAGACACAGGTGCATCCTCTGTTTTTCTTTCTGAAGTTGTCTTTGCCAAAAGTGTGAAGTGGTTGTGAGCTGTGATTCCCAAGGATGCGTGCTGAGGAGTGTCTTTTTATTGTATCATTTTTTTTTCCTAGTATCTTACTCACAGGAACGTCTTATAATTTCTTAACCCTTTGTTTGTTTGCTCATTTATTTTGTAGTTTTGATGAGTTTTAGGATTTTCAAATTTATATTTCTTTTGGTTATCATGATCCTGTGTTTACATACACACCAGAGACATGCATATACAGACAGATAAACATATACACCCAGAGACACACATACACCACACATACAGACATACACACATACAGATATACACACCACCCATACCACACACATATACAGAAAACACACACACACACACACACACACACACACACACACACAACCACA